TCACTACTGGTTCCTTTCTTGAATTCCTAGCAACAGGTGCAAAAATTTCATCGAAGTCTATTTCTTTTTGTAGAAATCCTTTCGCCACAAGTCTTGCTTTGTGTCGAGTTACTTCACCTTTCGAATTCGTTTTCACTTTGTATACCCACTTGACATCAATTGCCTTCTTTCCTTGAGGCAATTCGACAAGTGACCAAGTGTTGTTGTCTTCAATAGACTTTACTTCTTCGTTCATTGCTTTCACCCACTTCGAATCCTTTAATGCTTCAGCTGCATTAACGGGTTCGACATCTGCATAGAAAGCATAATGTACCAGCTCACCTTCATTATCTATTACATCATCTGATGTAATCACACAATCTTGCAATCTCGCAGGCATGCGTCTTGTTCTTTGAGACCTGCTTGTACTTGGTATATTTGCTGGTTCCTCTTGTCGAACTTCTCTTTCGACTTGAGTTTCTGGCTCTTCAAGAAGGATTCCCACTGAATCTTTCTTGATACTTTTAGTCCAATCCCATTCTTTAAACTCGTCTATGATCACGTCCCTGTTGATCACAATCTGCTTTTTCACTGGATCAAACAACTTGTAGCCTCCTGTCGAATGATATCCAACTAGAATCATTTGACTTGACTTATCATCAAGTTTTCTTCTCAACTGATCTGGCACATGTCTATGTTCAATAGATCCAAATACCTTCAGATGACTCAAGCTAGGCTTCACACCAGACCAACATTCTTCTGGAGTAATTCCTTCTAGCTTCTTTGTAGGATATCTGTTCAAAATGTATGTTGCAGTCGAAACAGCTTCACCCCAAAACTCTTTAGGTAAATTCTTGCCTTTCAACATACTTCTTACCATATTCATGATGGTTCGATTTTTCCTTTCTGCAATTCCATTTTGTTGCGAAGTATAGGGTGGCACCACCTCATGCACAATCCCTTCTTTTTCACATAATTTGTCGAAGTCTTTCGACACATATTCTCCACCACCAGCAGTTCTCAAAACTTTGAGCTTTCGACCACTTTGTCTTTCGACCATAGACTTAAACTTGGTAAACACTTCGATCACTTCACTTTTCTTCTTGATCAGGTAAGTCCATAGCTTTTGACTGAAATCATCTATGAATGTAACAAAGTATTTGTTACCTCCCATCGAATCCACCTGGATTGGTCCACATACATCAGAGTATATGACTTCAAGACTAGCCTTCGATCTGCTTCCTGCATCCTTGCTGAAGCTATTCTTGTGTTGTTTCGCCTGCATGCATTCCTCACATACCTCGTTTGCAATGTCAATTTCTGGCAATCCTGAAACCATATTTCTTCTCTTCAAATCTCTGATGTCTCTGAAGTTGAGATGGCCTAGTCTATAATGCCATATCCATTCATCTCTGCTAGCTGCAGTCGAAAGGCACCTGTGCTCCATCACATTTAGTTCAATCTTGAAGGTTCGATTCTGAGACATAGGAGCCTTCAAGATTAATCTCCCATTTGCATCAATGACTCTCATCATCTTATCTTCGATTGACACTTTATAATTCTTTTCGGCCAACTTCCCTATACTGAGCAAATTTCTCTTCATGCCTGGTATGTACAACACATTGGAGATTACTGACCTTTTGCCATCTTTCCTCATGATCATAACATCACCAATACCTTCAGCTGTTAGGGTATTATCATTTGCAAATTTTACCATATTTTTCATTGAGGGATTTATATTGACGAACCAGTCTTTCCTTCCAGACATATGTGATGAACATCCTGAATCCAAGTACCATTGGTCCTTGAATCTATCTTCATCTCTTGTTGTGACCACCAGCATCATCTCTTCTTCTTCTTCATATTTTGCAAGCTTTGCATCACTTTCTTGATTCTTTCGTTTTTCTAGACAATCACTCGAATAGTAACCATACTTCTGACAATTGTAACATTGAATGTGACTCTTATCAGGTTTTTGACCACCACCTCTTCCTCTATTTGCAACACCACCTCTTTGGTTGCCTTGGTATGGTCTTCTTTGATTCGACATGTTTCCTTCAATCTGGTTTCCTCTACCATTCGATTTGTTGTAGCCACCTCTACCTCTGTCGAAACACTTTCCTTTGCCTTTGGTCTCTTTTGCTGAATGTGCCTGCAAGGCCACACCACTCTTTGATTTTCCTGCAGCTCTTTCGTTCATTCTTTGTTCATGAGATTCAAGCGTCCCTTGAAGCTCTTCCTTTGTCAATTTAGACAAGTCTTTCCCCTCTTCTATCGCCACCACTATGTGGTCGAACTTAGGAGCTAAAGATCTCAAGATCTTTGACACAACAACTCTTATTGTTAACGCTTCTCCACATATCTTGATTTGATTTACTAGTTTTGTAACTCTAGTGAAGAAATCAAATATGCTTTCACTGTCTTCCATCTGAAGCAGTTCATAGGTCCTTTTGTGAGTTTGTAACCTCACCTCTTTCACTTTCTCAGTGCCTCCAAAAGACTTCTCAAGGATTTCCCAAGCTTCTTTTGCAGATTCAGAATCACTAACCTTTTCGAAATTGTCTGGACTGACACATTGATGAATTATAAATAATGCTTTATAACTCAACTTCTCAGATTCTATGTATTTCTTCTTTTCTTCTTCTGAAGCGTTTTCTCCAAGTGCTTCGACTCCATCTTTTACAAGGTCCCAAAGACCTTGACACCTGAATAAGACTTTCATCTGTTTGCACAAATTCTCATAGTTGTCAACTTTCAGAATTGGTAGGGTTGTTGGATAATTTTCATTCCCATAACTTGTCATCGTGAATTCTTCAATCGTTCTTGATTGACACTTCCCTTGAATCAAAACAAAGCTCTTGATATCAGATGTTGGAAATCCACCAAAAGACTATGATGAATTTCTACCACAATGACGATTAGTTATGAGAAAAACAAAGAAAAGAAGACAAGACAAATAATTTCTACAGAGTTTCTCCCTGCTCACAAATTGTGAAAACTTTCTTATTCACTTTGCAACTGCAAAATACTGTGAATGACTTGCTTGACTTACTTACAAAAAATAGGGGTTACTCCCTCTATTTATAACTGAGCTTACGCCCTAAGCCCAAAGCCCAAAATATATTTTTTTTACTAAATCAAATCTAATTTATTCTAGACTTAAATCAAATCTATTTAAATCTAAAACAAATCAAATCTTTTCGACACATTGGATTATAATTTAACAGTTTTAATCCATGTTGTTAAATTAATGTGTATTTTTGAATGATTATTTTGTAGACATATTTAGAATATTATAAAAAGTTTTTTGAAAAAAAAAGAAATTCAAAATTTGATTTTTAAGTCGAGATTTTTATTATTTTTATCAATATTTTTTTAAATTAAAAAAATTATATTTAATTCTTCTCATTTTAAAAAATTCTAAAATTTGATAAAGAAACATTTTATAATATTTTAAACACGTGTGAAAAATATTATTCAAAAATTTAAAAATTTAAAAATAATTAAACAATTTTTAAAATTTTAGAAAATAGTAGAGACTAAAATTGAATGAACAAAATTTTTTTAAAGACTAAAGTTTATCATTTTTTTTAATAAGAATTAAAAATGAAATTTAAAATATTTATAAAAATCAAAAATATATTTAACTCTTAATTTAATTGGTATTATCTCTATATTTTAAATACAAATGTCAATTTTTTTATTTGAAACAGGGATATTTTTAGAATTAGTTGGAAAACTTAGTTATTTGAGGAATTTTGTTCAAAAATTTATTATTTTGATAAAAAATATTATATGTATTACATAGAACAATTTTAATATGAATAATTTTACATGAATTAAAACAAACAAAAAAAAAAAACAATAATGAGATGATTTTAAACTCACCAAGGTTATAGTATGCTAACTGCTATAAACATAATGTACGGTATTCATGCTTTTAGCTTTGGCTGATCTGCTGTATGGAATATTTAGTGGTTCCTAAAAACAACTTAATTAACTGTTCAATAATAGATTCTTAGTAATTGTTACTTAATATTAATAATAGAACAAGTGGATAACAAACTTGTTAATCACTAATATAAATTAAAAAATATATTTTTTAAATAATAGTACTGCATAATGGAAGACTTGTAAGTCAACAATAATATTAATACATAATGGAAGACTTGTAAGTCAACAATAATATCAATATCAATACATAATGGAAGACTTGTAAGTCAACAATAATATCAATATCACATAATGGAAAGACTTGAAAGTCATCAATAATCACATAATGGAAGACTTTGAGTGATCCAAATATCACGCATATCTTTATATTTTAGACGAAAACTGTGTCTTATTACTTTTAATTTTTGTTATGTGCTTTTCATTTAATATATTTTCAAAAAATATTTACTTTATTAGTGCTTATATATTTTGCACAAAAAAAAAAAGTGAATGCATTATGTTGACCGACTTCAAACTACAAGACAGCAACAACGTTTGGGTGATTTTACCATTTAATAATTTTGTCTATATTTCTTTTTAAATCAAACATTATCTTTTATTAAAATAATTTTTTTAATAATTTTTTTAATAATCCATTCCAAAAAAACGGTTGTCATTGTAATCTTCTGACTATTAATTTAAAAACCCATTTATGTGATTATTAATGAGATTTAAAAAGTGAGGGGTAAAATTGTCATTTTACTATCAAGAACATTTTAATCAATTTCTAATCATCCTTCATGACACACTAAGTCAAGTAGAGACTCAAAGTAGTAACAACTACTTGTTCAAAAAATCTCTAATCCACTCAATTAGAAAAATGGGTATAAAGGAATTGCAAATTAGCCGTGGGGCATTTTGGTCATTGGGAAATGCTCTACTTACAGAGACAAGTGAAAGTAAAATTCAGAATTTTCCCTTCTTTGAAATAGAGAACTTCACGTGAGAAGGAGAAAGAAAAAAAAGGAATAATTCTCTCATATTCACCATCCTCTTTCTTCAAAGACCAACCCTTGAGGGAGAACAAAATGGGTTCACCATTTTCATCTCAGACTCAAGAGATGGTAAGTTTCTTGGTTCATTATTACACTCTTTGGCTAACTCCATTTTTTGAATTACGAATTTCAATCTTGATTACATATTTAAATCGTATTATATGAGAAGTGAGTTTTATTTTTATTGGAAGTCTTTAATAATTCAAATGCATTGTGGAAGTTCCTGCGAGCTTTATGTTGGAATCAACTTATTAAAAAAATATTTCTGAAAATTTGTAAATTGGAAATTTCGAAGAGGAAATTGATTTTCTGTTTTGTGGAAATCGATTTCAACAACTTGAGTTTGTTTTCAGTTTTCTGTTTTTTAATTGGGGAAATTGATTTCCCTATTTGTGAAAGTCGATTTCCACCCCCATATTTTGTGTTTTTTGAGTTGTTTTTAGACCACTTTGGTTCCAAGTTGTAATTTTAATATCATATAAATACTCCCTCATGTAATATTGTTTAGTAAATGTCATTTTGTGAATATTCTCCTCAATTACTCTCTCTCTCTCTCTCTCTCTCTCTCTCTCTCTCTCTCTCTCTCTCTCTCTCTCTCTCTCTCTCTCTCTCTCTCTCTCTCTCTCTCTCTCTCTCTCTCTCTCTCTCTCCCTCTCTCTCTCATTTTTCTCCAAATTCACTTCATCTTCTCTAATTAACCACTTTTCTCCATTTATTTATCACTCAAGCTTTGTGCCTATTCTAAAATTCGACATCAAGAGTCTTGGTTCTGATCCATTAATCTGCTGTAAAGACGACTACTGTTTTCAATGACCGAGTCCCTACTATTCTTCCAACCCTTGATTCAAAGAACTATGATAAGTGGTGCAAAAAAATGAAAGTTTGTTTTCAGTTTTCTGTTTTTTAATTGGAGAAATTGATTTCCCTATTTGTGAAAGTCGATTTCCACCTCATGTTTTGTGTTTTTTGAGTTATTTTTAGACCAGTTTGGTTCCAAGTTGTAATTTTAATATCATATAAATACTCCCTCATGTAATATTGTTTAGTAAATATCATTTTGTGAATATTCTCCTCAATTACTCTCTCTCTCTCTCTCTCTCTCTCTCTCTCTCTCTCTCTCTCTCATTTTTCTCCAAATTCACTTCATCTTCTCCAATTAACCACTTTTCTCCATTTATTTATCACTCAAGCTTTGTGCCTGTTCTAACATTCGACATCAAGAGCCTTGGTTCTGATCCATTAATCCGCTGTAAAGACGACTAACCCTCGATTTTCTGTTTTGTGGAAATCGATATCAGCAGCTTGAGTTTGTTTTCAGTTTTCTATTTTTTAATTGGGGAAATTGATTTCCCTATTTGTGAAAGTCGATTTCCACCCCATGTTTTGTGTTTTTTGAGTTGTTTTTAGACCAGTTTGGTTCCAAGTTGTAATTTTAATATCATATAAATACTCCCTCATGTAATATTGTTTAGTAAATGTCATTTTGTGAATATTCTCCTCAATTACTCTCTCTCTCTCTCTCTCTCTCTCTCTCTCTCTCTCTCTCTCTCTCATTTTTCTCCAAATTCACTTCATCTTCTCCAATTAACCACTTTTCTCCATTTATTTATCACTCAAGCTTTGTGCCTGCTCTAACATTCGACATCAAGAGCATTGGTTCTGATCCATTAATCCGCTGTAAAGACGACTAACCCTCAATTTTCTATTTTGTGGAAATCGATTTCAACAACTTGAGTTTGTTTTCAATTTTCTGTTTTTTAATTGGGGAAATTGATTTTCCTATTTGTGAAAGTCGATTTCCACCCTATGTTTTGTGTTTTTTGAGTTGTTTTTAGACCAGTTTAGTTCCAAGTTGTAATTTTAATATCATATAAATACTCCCTCGTGTAATATTGTTTAGTAAATATCATTTTGTGAATATTCTCCTCAATTACTCTCTCTCTCTCTCTCTCTCTCTCTCATTTTTCTCCAAATTCACTTCATCTTCTCCAATTAACCACTTTTCTCCATTTATTTACCACTCAAGCTTTGTGCCTGTTCTAACATTCAACATCAAGAGCCTTGGTTCTGATCCATTAATCCATTGTAAAGACGACTACTGTTTTCAATGACCGAGTCCCTACTATTCTTCCAACCCTTGATTAAAAGAACTATGATAAGTGGTGCAAAAAAATGAAAGTTTTGTTTGGGGTATCAAGACGTTCTTGAAGTGGTTAACAATGGTGTTACACCACTTGGGGAAGAAGCTACAAAATCTCAGAAGGCTGCATTCGAGGAAGAGAAGAAGAAAGACTATAAGGCACTCTTATTGATTCACTCTTGTATCGATAATGGCAACTTTAAAAAAGCTGGCGATGGCGATTCAGTGAAGCAAGCATGGGAGATCTTGAAGAAAGTTTATGACAGGGCTGATAAAACAAAGGTGGTGAGTTTACAAACTCATAAGAGACAATTTGAATTGGTTCAAATGGAAGAGAAGGAGTCAATCAACGATTATGTAACACACATTACGCATTTGATGAATAAAATGAAATCTTGCAGTGAAACTATTCCGGAGCAGAATTAGTTATCAAAGATCTTGCGTTATTTAACTTCAAGATTCTACAACATTGTGGTTACAACTGAAGAATCAAAGGACCTTCTGAAATTGAGCAAGGAGGAGCTTCAAAGCTCTCATGAGGCTCATGAACAAAGGATGGATGAAAGGGGAAATGACAAAGCTAAAGCGTAGATTATGTTGCAAGCACGGTTCGGTGAGAAGAGTAAAATATCGAAAGGAAAATGGTCTTCGAAAGGGAAGAAAACTTTCCAGAATTTTGGTGAAAAAGATCCACAAAATTTGAAGGCTTCGATGGTGCAAAGAGGTGAGATCTTCTCTAAAGGTAGTGGTCAAAGCAACTACACCAAAAAATTTGACAAGAGTAACATGAAGTGTTACAATTGTCATAGATTTTGTCATTTCGTTAGGGATTGTAATGCAAAATCTAGATAAAATCAAAGCAATGAGGTTAAGATTGCTCGATATGAGGTGGATGATGATAACACGCTTATGGTCATGATCACTGTAATATCCCAAATTTAAAATTAATTATTTATTTTATTATTGGTGATATTTGGTGAGTTTCTATGTGATGTGTGTGATATGTTGTGCATAGTATGGATTAAGATGTTAATTACTATTATTTAGAATTAAATAATTATAGTTATATTATTTAGAGTTATAATAATAATTTAGTTTATTTTAGTTAGAATTATTTAATAATAAAATAGAATAATTGGTGTGTAGAGATAATGAGGGCATGTTGATAATATATGGTGATAAGTGAGGGCATAAAGGGAATAACATAGAAAGGATCCTAGGGGTAAAAAGAGAAAATACAAGAATATAGATAATTTTTATACGATCGTAGAATTAGGAGAAACGCGGAGAAGAGGTTAGGGCTCAAAGGGTTTTTCTGTAGAACGTAGAGAAGAAGAGATCAAAATTGTTAAGATATCAAGGTAAGGGATTTAATCATTGTTTATTATGATTGATAGAGCATTAAGATAATGTAGGGCTTGTTGTGTGATCGATTTGATGAAACATGTGATTGAATTGATGAAATTATGATTAAACTGTTGATGTTAATGATGTCTGAATGCCATGATTCATGTTTGATATGATATGAAGATGTATTTTGATGTTGCTATGTATTTATATGATGATTATTATGCATTTTGGACTGAGTTTGGTACAAAAATTGGAACTGTTATGGAGTTGGACATTGCAGGAATCACAACTGAGAAGTTGCAATTTTGCGAGCATCGTCAGGCGAGCTTGGGGCGAGGAGAGCATCCAAGCATCGCCGAGCGAGACAAGTAGCAAGGGACTGGGTGAAAAATAAATGGTTGTGCTACAGCGGCAAGTCGTGAAGAGTGGTTGTGGCACTACCGTCTTGGACATCTCAATTTTTGAGACCTCGACGCGTTACAAAGAAATGGTATGGTAACTGGGTTATCGAAAATCAAGGTTCCACCTGAGATATGTGAAGAGTGTGTTCAAGGGAAGCAACACAAGAGTAGTTTCAAGGATGCAGGTCATATAACCAAACATCACCTTGAGGTGGTGTACTTCGACGTGTATGGTCCAATGCAAGTCGATGCGTATGGTGACAATAGATACTTTGTCACATTTATTGATGATTTTAGTAGGAAACTATGGACATACCTAATCAAGAGGAAAGATGAGGTATTTGATGTGTTTAAGAAGTTTAAGTCCATGGTTGAGCGGCAAAGTGGTCACAAAATTAAAATTCTCAAAACGGATGGTGGAGGTGAGTATACCTCGAATGAGTTTGGGAATTATTATAATAAGGAGGGTATAGTGTGTGAGGTTATGCCACCCTATACGCCCCAGGAGAATGGTGTTGTTGAGAGTAAAAATTATTCGATAATAAACACGGTTCATAGCATGTTGAAGGGAAAAGGCTTGCTGAAGGAACTATAGGGGAGAAGTTGTTTCTACAACCGCCTATTTATTGAATAGGTTCCCTACAAAGAAGCTGGATAAGGTGACTCTAGAAGAGGTATAGTCTGGATTTAAACCAAGTTAAAGTCATTTGAAAGTTTTCAGTTCGATAGCATTATGACATATTTCGGGTCAGGTTCAAAAGAAGTTGGATGACAAAATTGAGATGATGTTGCTTGTTGGTTATCATCCTACCGGAGGTTACAAATTATTTGATGTGAAAAGCGAGAAGATTGCAATAAGTCGATATGTGGTCATGGATGAGGTAAGGTTGTTTGACAGCAGAAAACTGGGCATGACAGGTGTGGAAATCGATTTTCAGGATGAGGGAAATCGGTTCCTGACGCGATTTCTGCATAATGAGGTTCCTGTGACTAATTCTGGTGCAGTTGAAATCGATTTCCCAGATGCTCAAAATGATTTCCAACAGGAAAATCATAATTTTTTGAATTTTGCAGGTCCTGAACAAAAAACATTCGAAGTTGAAATCAGAGATAACAATAGACGACCAACTAGGCAAAGAGGATTGCCTCAAAGACTCTGAGATTGCAAAGTATTTCTGGATAATGAGATTAATGATGATGGTGATCTCATTCACTTTACGCTTATGGCTGAATTTGATTCTGTTAGCACGGAAGAGGCATTAAGCGATCTAAAGTGGGCGTGTTCGATAAAAGAGGAGCTGGAATCGATTAAGAAAAACAGTACTTGGGAGTTGGTTGATCTATCGAAACAAAAGAAGCCAATCGAAGTAAGATGAGTCTATAAAGTGAATACAAATCCCAAAGGTGAAATTGTCAAGCATAAGGCTCTACTAGTTGCAAAGGGATTTTTGAAAAGAGAAAGTATAGACTTTGATGAGGTGTTTTCTCTCGTTGCTAGGATAGAAACCACACGGCTAGTTATTGGTATTGCAAATAACAATAATTGGTCTATTTATCAAATGGATATGAAATCTGCATTTTTGAATGGTCCACTTGAGGAGGAAGTTTATGTAGAACAACCCCTGGTTTTGTGGTGATAAATCAAGAGGGAATGGTCTACGAGAAAGTGCTTTATGGTTTGAAACAAGCTCCTAGAGCTTTGAACAAACACCTTGATGGTTTCCTAGTTAATGTTGGCTTTAAGAAATGTGTTTCCTAACATGGTGTATATGTGAAAACAGATGCAAGCAAATATGTGATCATACCTTGCTTATATGTGGATGCCCTATTGATCACGGGTATCAATTAATTATGTATTTCTAAGTTCGGGGATTAAAAATGTTGGGGCTACATATCACATGCTAATGGACATGGTGTTTTCATCACAAATAGGGAGAAACATGGAAGTATATGTGGATGACATGGTGATCAAGGCTCTGATGGAGATGGATAAAGTCAAAGATCTAGAAGAGACATTTGAGTTAGTAGGGAAGTTTGAGATGAGGCTTAATCCAGACAAGTGCACTTTCAGGGTACAAGCTGGCAAGTTTTTGGGTTTCATGCGGACACACTCGAGAATAGAGGCTAATCCAGACAAGTTTCAGGCGAGTATTGATATGAGAAGCCTGACGTTTGTAAAGGAAGTCCAACCACTAACTGGAAGATTGGCCGCCATGTTCTGATTTTTGTCTTGTGCGTGCGATAAGTCCATCCACTTCTTTGCGGCTATTAATAAGTCGACAAAGTTTGAATGGACGGAAGAATGTGAAAAGAAGTTTACGGAGTTGAAGCATTTCATATCCTCCACATCAATCTTAGTCCACCCAAAGGAGAATTCAAATTTTATATTATACTTGGCAGTCTCAAACAAGGTTATCAGTTATGTATTGGTTCAAGACAGCGACAAAGGTGAAAGGTCGGTCTACTTCATCAGTAAAGTTCTCAGAGGATCTGAGATACACTATCAAAAGATCGAACAGTTAGCTCTGGAAGTAGTGACTACCGTCAGTAAACTTAGACATTATTTTCAAGGACACCCTATTATTATCAAGACAAATTATCCCATAAAGAAGATTTTAAAAAAGCTGGTATGTCAGGAAGGATGGTATCCTGGATTGTTTAGAATTATCAGAGTAAGACATTTCACTCACCTCCCATGAAGTGCGTGTCACATTTATAGATTTTAGAGGAGATTATTGCGTATTTTAAAATTATTGGGGGTTTCGGTGCCATTCTAATAGACCTTAAAGGATGTGATTATAATTTCCCCAAACAATTATAAGAGAAACAATTATGAAAGATATCGAGATTAACAAATCGAATAGAAATATAATTATGAATAGAATTTATTGCCGAATTGGATCCATGAAAATGACTCTACTTAGTAAAATAAAGCTTGACCGTTGATCTACTCATGGGACATGATAATGGTTTTAGGCCCCAGATCAAGAACATCTTCATATATATATATATATATATATATATATATATATATATATATATATATATATATATATATATATATATATATATATATATATATATATATATATATATATATATATATATATAATGATGATGATAAGTCATTACGTCAGAAAAATTACAAGTACCTTTGGTCATACGTCGTGACCAAATTCCTATATTGGATAAGGTCAAGAATTTCCAAGAGCGCTTAATTTCCAACAATACCTTAGAACAATTCGTCAATCTTAATTATTCATCTGGAAGAATACTTCTTTTACTAACAAACTCACTGTCATTAATGGTTAAGAATTTTAACACATCGTGTCTTTCTATCATTGTTTGAACAACCTCTCTAAAGAGTTTGCACCATAAATCTCAAGATTGAATCCGTTGTTGGAAGAAGAAAAAAACAATATTCTCATTAAATTTCAAAATCTAATCTCTAGTTCTTCATCCCATGAACTTCTATACAGCCACACATCATGTTTCCTTATTCTCGAGGTTCTAACCGTCACGGTCATATAAAGGTTTTTGCAATTTCGATTGTTATAGGTGTTGTGATGTTCAATGCAGTCCTCTAAGTGTAAATTATCACACAAGAGGTGAAAAAGAGTATTGATATATGCACCTTTCGATAGTGTTTTGTCACGACCATTTTCGCGTTAACGAAACTTTTTTGAAAATCTAGCTTATTCCTACACAAAAAATTAAGGAACAAAAATTAAATTGATTTCATTGCCTGCAGTGGAAACAAAAGGCAATGTATTCTTTGCAATGATATGCAAACCTCCTAAAGTATTATCTCAACATTAATGCATTGTTATCACACATATAACTCTTTTATTTTTAGCCACCAACATATTCACGCTTATCTTCAATATATATTTAATTAGTAACCACATTAAATGCCATAGAAGCAAGATATATGAATAATATTAGCAATGTTTGTGCAATAGAAGACCTCCAAACCCGAATTTGTTGCATGTATTAGATTGTGGGATGATTCTTATTCACAACTCGATTTTTTTAAAAGCAAAATTATGTATATAATGGGATGATGTACTTCATTCTAATACAATAATAAAGAAATTTAAAAGGACAAACTAGAAGAAGAAAAACATCAATCCAAAAACAATATTGAAAGCATCCCACACAAATGTTAGAAAATAAAAAATAAATACCTAAAGAAACATTCCAGTGAACTAACAAACATTAGAAAAGAAAAAGTACATTCAAGTAAATTAACAACCACTTGTACAAACGAAAATAACTAGGTCGCACTTCTGCCAAAAATTAAAGTCTTGAGTTTGATTAACGTTGCTTTAACATCTGCCATATTGATTCTTGCTGCAGGTGAATGTTCACAACAATTCAGGGCTAAACCAAAGATAGATGACATGTGTGTCAATATGTTATCCATTTGTTCTCCATTTTGTTGGACTAAATTAGAATCCAAAACCTCCAAAATTAAACCAGACAATGATTCACCGATCCATGTTTTCAAACTTAGATCTCCAACAAACATATCATCTGTAGGTTTTCTTCTTGTGAATATTTCCATTAACATTATCCCATAGCTGTACACATCCCCTTTGACAGAAACAATTCCCTCAGATCCATACTCTGCACATTTATATATAAGTACTAATAGTTGTCAAATATTCTTAAATATAATAAAAGTAAGTAAATTTAAAGAAACAAATTATATATTCCAACTTGTTTTCTTTTATTTTTAACAAATGTTTCTTTTGAAGTACATATATACTATTGTATTTATAAATATAAATGATTTATGATAATTAAGAATTTAAACTCGAGTGACCAATAATTTCCCATTTCACTACAAGAATGGTAGTTTTTAAAAAATCAATAAGCCCTTTTACATATTTATCCAAACTGAAAGAGACGACCTGGAATTAAAATTTATTATTCACAAAATAAAATACATTGGTTAGGATTGAAAGCATAAAGAAGAAAATATTAAGAAGTAAAAGAGATCAAGAAATAACCTGGTGCAAGGTATCCAATAGTAGCCAAAGTGTTTGTATGAGTTTTAGATTGTCCTTCATCCATGAGCTTTGCAATACCAAAATCGCTAACATGTGCAACCATATTTTCATCCAACAACACATTAGTAGGCTTTAGATCACAATGAACCACTGGTATTGAAGAACCATGATGCAGATATTCCAATGCAGATGCAACATCTATCATTATATTTAACCTTTGCAAGAAATTTAAGCAATAGTTATCTGAATATAACCATTTGTCTACACTTCCATTTGACATGAACTCCATCACCAATGATTTGAAATCGAGATTTGAACAACTGCTGATAATCTTAACCAGATTTCGATGTCGTAGATTTCTCATTGAATTACATTCTGCATCAAAGCTTTTTGATTTTTCCTCTGACTGCAAATCAATAACTTTAACTGCAATCATCTCACCATCAAGAAGTTTTCCCTGATACACAGAGCCAAATCCACCCTTTCCAAGTAAGTTACCCTCATTGAATCCATTTGTTGCTTGCACAAGTTCATAATAAGAAATTCTTCTTTGACCTCCTAAAGTTGATAAACCTTTCTCAAGATTATTTTCAACCTTTTTTCGTTTATGTTTTATGAGTATTATGCATGCAATAACAAAAATGGTTAGCAAAACTAAGGGAATTGTGCATTTGAGTAATAATTTTTTTTTCCTTGAAATTTTCCTAACTTGTTTAGCACATAGAGGCACTTGTAGGCGAGGATTTCCGCAAAGAGCTTCATTATGAATAAAAGATTGGGCTGTTAAAGTTTTGAAAAGTCCACCATCGGGAATCTCTCCTTGTAAACTATTATATGAGAAGTTGATATTTTGAAGATACAAAAGTGACGTTAAAGATTTTGGAATAACACCAGTGAGCATATTTTGGGACAAGTCCAAGGAGATCAAGCCTACCATGTCACCAAGTGATGAAGGAATTGACCCTTGCAGATTGTTATGTGCTAAGGATATATTTTCCATTGTTTTTAAGAAAGTAATGGTTGTAGGAATATTGCCTGAAATTAGATTTCTTGATATATCTAATAGTACAATTGCTCTTAAGTTCCCAATCTCAAGTGGAAGATTACCAGTGAAAGCATTATTGGTCAAATTTATCTCTAAGATATCTGTGAGACTCCAAAGAGAGGAAGGTATCTTAGAGTTCAAGTTGTTATATCCTAAGTCTAAATGTTCAAGAAAAGTCATGTTTCCCAAACATGTTGGTAAAACACCAGAAAGCGTAGTATTATATAGATACAAATCAATTAAACTCCTCATTTCACAAAGCTCATCAATAAATGATCCATGTAGACCATTGTTGCTCAATTCCAATCTCTGAAGTTTCTGTAACCCTTTGAATGTTCCAGGTATGGGGCCATTTATATTATTCCCAACCATAGAAAGAGATATCAAATTGCTCATGTTTCCAATTTCTAAGGGAATATTACCATCAATTCCACAAAAATCTACCATAAAGGTTACTGAAGTCATGTTTCCAATTGACTTGGGAAGATTCGATAGAATATGATTGCTTGATAACTCTAGATATTTCAAATATCTACAATTTGTCAAGGAATTAAAGAATTGAAGAGAATCATTAATAGTCAAATCATTGTGACTTATCATAAGCGATTCTAGGAACCTTAAATTTGCAAAGGCAATATTAGGAAAAGTTCCACTGAATGCATTCTCACTCAAGTCAAGTTGAACGAGGTTAGAAAAGTTGAATATACTCGCTGGAATATTTCCAACAAAATTGTTGTGATACAAGTGTATGGTTACTATGCTAGGAAGGTTCGTATTAGATGGAATTATACCTGAGAGACTATTATGTTCAATCTGCAAGTTTGTGAGTGATGATATGTTGAGGAAATTGGAAGGAATAGACCCACTAAAGTTGTTGTATGCCAATATTAGATACTCAAGTTGATCAAGATAACCAATCTCCTCGGGTATTGGACCTGAAAAAGAATAAGAAGCAAAGTGATTAATAAACAATGTGATTATGAAGATAACCATTCTTATAATATTCGTTCAACTAATTGGTGTGGTTTTTGTTATGTCCACAACAAATATTTGTATGCTAAATCATGCGTACAATGTTCCAATGAAACTGTAGCACACTTAAATTGAGAAATGTAGAGTGTAAATATTTTCCTTGAAACCAATATATTATAAAATGCAAAACACTGAAACCAAACAAATATAATTGGTAAATCTAAGCGAGCATCCTTTCTCTTATATCTTTTTTATGTCGTATTTACGACTTTTTATGATGAGAAATGTAGGGAACGAATAGAATCAAATTTTTGAAAAGAAATAAAATTTACTTTATTTTAATGGTTATGCAATTGTTTTTATTACATTTAATTTTATGTTTAATAATTTAAATTTTATTCTAGTTTGTTCTTGTAAGTTTTATCGGATTAATTATTTTGTTTTATTCTTTGTCATATAATTCTTTTATATTGTATTGTGTATATTGTTATCAATTTTCATACATTATGTTACAAATGTAATATAAATGTTTCAGATTTTCATACACTACAGCAGTAGGATAACAAATATGTGTGTGCGTATTTTTGCACATAGATTAATAAATATGTAAAAAAAAGTTAACAATGTCTATGTTATAAGACTTGAAGAACCTATTGTGAGACTGCAAAAATCAAATATCTAATTTGATAGAATTAAACAAATTAAAGGAACGCTTGATTTTTTAGTTATTGATTTAAATTTAGTTCCATTTATGAGGGCCGAAAGGCGTTTATTCTTAAAGAGAAATTAAATCATTGAAGAATGTCTTGAAAGTTTGGAGTAAGAAGGTATTGTGTAATCTAGTTCATCATATTGATACCTTGAGATAATGTGACAAGGTTATGGAATTAAAATTGGACTAAGGATTGATTCTTCATGCAATTAGACTTAGTTGATGGGACCAGAGTGATATCGGCGGATATATGGTCTTTTCTTAGTGTTAACAACTCTCAGATTTTCAAAGGTCTAAAGCAAAGTGTTTAAGAGAACGAGATGCCAACACAGGTTTCTTCCACTTATGTGTTTTTATCTCTTATTTTTCCTATGGAGATTGACTTGGTGGTCTCTCAGTATGATTGGAATAAGAGTAATGGCCCTGAGGGGTTCAATTTCTCTTTCTTTAAGAGATTTTGACATCTCCTAAGGGGGGTGGGGGTATGGACTGAATATTTAAGTAGTTTCATTGTATGGATTCTCTCGGTCATAATTTATTTACTTATTTGGTCACTTTTGTCACTCTTATCTCCAAGATTGTGTTGCCTTTGAAGTTGGATGATTTTTGACATATCTCTTTAGTTGGGCCTCATTAGAAGCTAGTAGAAAAAGTGTTAGGAACAAAGATAGTCGAGGTTATAGATAAACTAGTTTTGTATAATCAATAGACTTATCTAAAAGGATACCTTTTGGATATGAATGATTTGACTGACCTTGTTAATAAAACTAAAAATGATTGTCTCATTCCGAATGTGGATCTTTTTGGATTTAATGCTTGTGAAGTTCAATTTTAAATCAAGTGATACCTTTAATTGGTTTGTTGAGGGTTTAAGACGAAATGTGGTTTCTAACATATGTACCTCCTTCTGGGATGATCTATGAGTTAGAAATATTTCTCTTAGACTTACTTTTCATAGGCTTTATCCTATCCTTATAAAAAAAAGGAAGGATTGAGAGATTGGTGTTTTGGTTTATGGTATGTAGTTTAGAACTTTCGATGGATGAGATCTCTCTTTGACTAAGATGAAGAGTTGGTCGATGACCTATTCTGAATATTTAGGATATTATATTTTCCTTGGAGACTGATCATTGGTATTGGTGTCTTAGGGAGGATGAAGTATATTCTATTACCAAAATCACACCTTTATTACTTTGGACTAGATCTTGACAGCTAATTGGTGTAGTCAGGCTCCGTCAAGATTGATTGTATTTTCTTGATAACTACCCCAAGTTAAGATCTCAACTAGAGAAAATCTATTTAATAGACAAGTTATTTTTTATGCAACTAGTGTTTCTTGTGAGATATGTGACGGGAATGTTGTGTCTTCCTCTAGCAACCAACATTAAGTTGGATGAAGTACCATCATTATTCTTCAATCTTCTTTCATTAGACATAATTTTACCACACTGATTGATAAAAAATCAAATAGTTAATTAAAGTCGAGAAAAATCTTGAAATTATTTGACGAAAGAATTGAGAAATATTGATGTGTTCAAATCTACTGTTAAAGACATCACTAGATGAGTGATAATGGTTGATATCTTATTTAACGTTAAGAAAGGAAACTCAATTCACACTTGAGCAATGTCGTGTTCAATTATGAAAATACAATATTAATTTTTTTTTGAAGTACTAACAAAGATTTATCTCAAAAGGAAAAACCTATTTGGACCATAAATAACGATAAAATGGTTATGACGATGTTTTCTCTTAATACACATATAAAGTATAAATATATTGTCTTTGAAAGCATAAATATGAATGCATTTTTTATGTAGTTTACCTAGATAAGAATAAAGTTGAGCTGCTTCATATAGTCCATGTGTTTGACTCTTAAATTCTCAAGAAAAAGAATATGAGACGCATGATCTTATCAAATATAAATTTTATAATTCGATTAATGATACTAAAATTTCATGGACGAGTTATGCATACTTGTTAGTAAAATATATAACTTAAATTTGTAAGATATTTTAGTGTCAACCATGAAGTTTTTTATAATAATGGAATTATATATGTTTTTTTTTTTATAATTGGTGGGGGATTGCTATAGAGTTTCTAAAATATATATATATATTTAATAGACAAGTTATTGTTGATGCAACTAGTGTTTCTTGTGGGATATGTGATGTGAATGTTGAGTCTTCCTCTAGCAACTAACATTAAGTTTGATGAAGTATCACCATTATTATTCGATCTTCTTTCATTAGACATAATTTTACAACATTGGTTGATCAAAAATAAAAAAATTAATTAAAGTCGAGAAAAATCTTGAAATTATTTAACGAAAGAATTGAGAAATATTGATGTGTTCAAATCTATTGTTAAAGACATCACTAGATGTGTGATAAGGGTTGATATCTTATTTAACATCAAGAAAAGAAATTCAATTCACATTTGAGCAACATCTTGTCTCGTGTTCAATTATGAAAATACAATATTAAATTTTTTGAAGTACTTAATAAAGATATATCTCAAAAGAAAAAAATGTACTTGAATCATAAATAACGATAAAATGGTTATGACGATGTTTCTTCTTAATACACATATAAAATATAAATATATTATTTTTGAAAGCATAAATATGAATGCATTTTTTATGTAGTTTCTCTAGATAAGAATAAAGTTGAACTACTTCACATAGTCCATGTGTTTGACTCTTAAGTTTTCAAGAAAAAGAATATGACACGCAAGATTTTATCAAATATAAATTTTATAATCCTAATAATGATATCAAAATTTCATGAACGTATTATACACACATATTAATAAAATATATAATTTAAATTGTAAGATCTTTTAGTATAATCATGAAGCTTTTTATAATAATGGAATTATATTTATATATATTTTATAATTGGTGGGAGATTGTTATAGAGTTTCTAAAATATATTTAGAATTACTTAACAAAAACGTTAAAGAGGTTATATATTGATGCGGTATGTTAAGTGGACTACGGGTTGTAAAACATGTGTGATTAAATATATTTAATACTTAATTATTATTAACCATATGTGTGTGATTTAATTATTTAAATAAATTTAATATAAAATTATTATACAATCAGTTAATCTAAACCAATTATAAAATAATATATTTAAGTAATTGTGATATGATAAACTTTTAAGGATAATAGCAATTTTACTTTTAAATGATATGATGATACAAGAGAAACATGAGAAAAATACCTGAAAAATAGTTAGAACCTACAAACAATCCTTGAAGTGAAGATATGTTGGAGATTTCTTTGGGTATGAATCCCGACAACTTGTTGTAACTAAGAATCAATAGTTTCAGTCGACCAAGTTGTCCTATTACAGGTGGAATGGTTCCTTCCAAGGAGTTTTTTCCAAAATTAAAGAACTCTAACTTAGACAAGTTGCATAAAGATGGAGGGATAAAACCACTGAAATGGTTAATACTGAGATTTAATTGTTGAAGCTGTGATAATTCTCCCAATGCCATAGGAATTTCTCCAACAAACCCGTTAAAGCCGAAATCAAGAACCTTTAGTCTGCGTAACCTACATACCTCATTAGGAAACATACCACCAAAACGATTGTTGGAGAGATCAAGTATAACAAGGAACGACAAATTCCCTAAATTGGGAGAAAGAGTGCCTCTAAGACCCATGCTTCCGAGATTCAAACTGTGGACTCTATTGTGTTTATTATCACAAGTGACACCAACCCAATTGCATACAGATGATGAAGTTGACCAATTATTAGCCAACATACCATGTGGATCTGAAGTAATGAGAGATTTAAATGCTAGAAGAGAAGATTTGTCTGTGCTAATATTTTTTATATCTGCAGCTGAGCAAGAAACAAAACAATAAAGTGCGAAAGAAGAAAGAAAGATATAAGATAACATATTGATCATTTTGTAGTTGTGTGAACGAAAGACGCAAGGGACTCATGAGGATGGATATATATAGTTCCTATGTATGACTAATGAGTATAACTAATATTAATAAGTTGGTGAAACTTAAGTTTTAAACTAGTTTATTAACTTTATTTAAAAGTATGGAAGAGAAAAAAAAGTTAAACTATTAAAAGTCAAAATCAACTACTAAGATTACACAGCAGAGATGAGGAAACCAAAAATATTGGAGAGGATCTGTTTTTGGTAATTTACTCAATAATTTATATAAGTGTGATTTTGACAGTAAAATAAAATTTTAAAATTACATATTAATTTAAAATTTTAAGATATTAAATATATGTTTTTTCTCACTTAAAAAATATTCAATATTATCTTTTTTTCATATAGTACGAGAATTATTACTCACATTTGATATACTAATATTGTACTATTTACCAATCAAGATATATATTTTTTCTTTAATTTAATTTTGATTTTTTTAAATTTTTAATTAATATATAATTTTAAAATTTTAATTTATGTGACAAAATTTTATTATTTTAAATAAATTACTCCAACTTTACATGGAGTGACAAAAAATTCATCTAATAAATTTACTAGACACCTAACCATTAACCATTTGTTTCTATCACTACATATTCCAACAATTTTTTACTATATAAACGTATCTCAATTTTAATTAGCTCAATTCTCTTCAAATTGCTTCAACAGGGTTGTAGAACGGATTGATTTGAGTCTATATCAGGCCAAATATTTAAATCTAAACACAAATTTGAGTCTATATCAGGCCAAATATTTAAATCTAAACACAAACTTTGTTTCTTTTTAAAAGTTCAATTTAAATCGATAAAATTTGGTTTAAATAATTTTATCGTGTGTTTGATTTTGGTCTCTGTATTTGTTTTAAATGATCTGTAATGTTAGTTCTTTTAGTTTTAGTCTTTAAAGTTAAAATTTGTAAGAAAATTTGTAGATTTTCTACGGATTTTTCTTCGAATTTTTCTACGGATTTTAATTTTAAAGACTAAAATCAAAAATAATTTTAACATTTAAGGATTATTTCCAAGAAAAATTAAATACAAAACAAAAATAAAAAAGACGCTAATTTACAAAGATCAAGAGACTATTTAAGTCATAAAATTTTAATTTTTGACATATTCAATTAAATCGGGTTGACGGATGAATCAAATGGATTTAATTGATTTGATATTTATAAAATTCACATTCATTTTTTAATTAAAAAACTATCAAAATTTTATAACTGACCAGAAAACTATCATACTCAAAAAGAAATTTATCTTCTTCTGATCACGTGAAGATTCAGCAAATTCTGCGAAAGATAAAAGAATGCAACATCTAATTCCTCTTGAAACAAAGGAATTTCAAATGGCCTTTCAACGAAATTAATCATATCAAGAAGCTTTCCAATGTCTCTGGTGATGCTTCTCTAAAAGACTCTGTGTACATGAAATCTTCTTCAACGACTCTTTGATGTTCCTCTATTTAAGGATCTGAAAATTTGAAGAAAACTACAACACTACGCATTGACAACTAAAGAATTGTTACTATGTCAAAACAACAACACAACTTAACTTAGGAATTCTTATCACTTGTATGTTCTAGAAATTCCTAAGTCTTAGAGTCTATTCGTGTTGTATTTAGTTTACACCTCTAACTGTATAGCAAATGTAACACTCAAATAGTCTCTCTCTTTTTAAGTTAGATTGTAGAAGTCTCTTGATTGTGTGCTTTGTTAGAAATCCACCAAATATCTATGATGAATTTCTACCAATCTTGACGAACAAGATTGATATCACCATACAATGACAATGAATTATGAGAAAAGAAAAGAAAAGAAAGAAGCCAATTATTTTCTACAGAGTTTCTCTCTGCCCACAAACCGTGAAAAACTTTATTAATCACTTGCAGCTGCAAATTCTCTGATTACAATGAATTGACTTTTTTTATACAAAATTAGGGGTTACTCCCTTTATTTATAGATTTAGGTTAGCCTGCTCCCTAAGCCAAAGCCCAAAACTATAAAAACCCAAAATACCTATTTTGGTACTAAATCAAATCTAACTATTTTAGATCTAAATCAAATCTATCTAAATCTAAAACCAAATATGTATCAAATCTGTGTGTAGCATTTTCGACACACCTACTTCAACACCCCCTTGTCTATGTCGAGCAAACTGCTTCGACACAAGAAATTACTTTCAACACACCACCTAATTCATTGTGTCTAAGCTATCTACATTCATCATAGCTCTTAGTCTTAGAAATACTTCGACCTGCACACCCTTCGTCATGATGTCTGTAATCTGATTCTCAGTTCTGCAGTGTTCCTAATTCATCTTCCCATCTGTAGTGTCTCAACCGACTCTTCATGAGGCTATATTGCCCTTTCTTCCTGTTGTAACAGTCTGGAAAGTTCTTCCGGTACTTCGTAATCTTCCTCACCTTCGTCCTCGGCTTGGTAGATCGGATTTTCAAAGTCATAACTGGCAATAGTAGAACCGCTATCAATGGGATCCAGAGTGGATGTGGATCTGCAGTTTGAGATGTGGGTGTGTGTAAGAGCATAGCTGTGTATTTTTTGATAAAGTAAAAAGTAGAAAAAGAAAAACAGAGAGTGTAAAATTTGCATGCAAAATGTCCAATATTTTATTGATGATATACGAAAATGAAGCAATAACCCTCACAAAATAGACCATTGTGCCTCGGGTAAGACACAAGGCTTCAAAGTTTCAATTGTTCAAATATTACATATCCAAAAAAAACAAAAAGACAATTACTCTTGAACAAAAGTAATAGGCACAAAATCTTTGGCCTCCCAATTGTTGAGTCCACCATTGATGGTTGGGAAGATCCATTTTTCCACGTCGCAGTCGCTGTCAGCATCCTCGGTAGCCGAAACAACATCAATTGCACTAATTCCCGGTTCATGCTTGGGCATTGGTGCAATTATAACATTGGGGGTCTTGGGAGGATCAAACTCAATCTCCTTCACCTCAATGAGATCTTGCACTTTGTTCTTCAGAGCCCAACAATCATTTGTATCATGCCCTGAAATTTCAGAGTGGTAGGCACATCGAGCATTTGGATTGTAGAGAGGAGATGCAATATTGGGATTCTTAGGAGCCTCTTTTAGGGTCATCAAATTGGACTTCAGCAGATGTGGCAAAACCTGGGATAAGGTCATATTGATCCAGGTGAACTGTCTTCTGAGTGCATCAGGTCTGCGCTGATTGTTTCGTTGCTGGTTTGATGCAGGATTGGAAATCATAACAGCCCCTACCGTCAGACGATGTTCAGTTTTGTTCTGATTCCTCTGGCCATAAGCAGCACTGACCTCTTTCTTTCCAGTTAAAGGTTTCCTTGATGTATTAGAGGATGCATCTCTCTGGATTTTACCATTTTTTATTCCAGCTTCTACCCGTTCACCAGTCAGTATCAGTTCAGTAAACCCAACAGAAGAACTCCCAATCAGATGGTTAAATAACGGACCAGACAACGTGCCCAAGAACATGTCCACCAACTCTCTATCAGACAACGGAGGTTGGTCTCTTCCCGCAAGGTCTATCCATTTTTGGGAATAATATTTAAAACCTTCACCAGAACCTGTTGTACCCCAAAATTTTCCCTCTCACTTATCAAGAATTTGCTCAAGACTGCACTAGGGTTGATCAGCTCAAGACACCTCCTTAAGCATCGATGACCAAAATTAGGGTTTGAGATTGCATAAGGATATTTGAACTTCCAATGCCCCATATGACTTTCATGGACCATGATGGACCCTCAAGATTACTCATGTCAAGTTTCAAGCCTTGGATCACACTTTTGCTCAGTCAATTGAGCAGTTGATCTAAAAGTCAGCTGTATTGGAGAAAAAGTCAACTATGGCCAATTCACAGTCAAACTTCATAATTTTTTATCCACAACAACATTTTAAACTCATATGTATCATTTGATCAAGTTTGGACCATAATTCCTCAAGAAATTTAATCAAATCTTCAAAAGGGCAAAATGGTCAAAATTAGGGTTTTTTGATTGGGAAATGGCAATTTCTGATTTTTGACCTAGAAAATGATCAATTGGTTTAAGGCATAATCTCAAGAGTCCAATTGCATCATTTTTACCTAATGACATGGCTCAAAACATTGCTCAAGTCCAATGGATTGACAGGTGAATTTTCAGTCAACTGATCAAAAGTCAACTATATACTAAAAAGTCAAACTTTGACTTTTTGGTCATAATCAAATGACAAAGATCACAATTCATCAAAGCATGCCAAAATATGAAACGTATTCATCAAGAAATCAAAAATTCAAGATTTCATTTTGAAAAGTTAAAATTTCTAAACTTAGAAATTTTTCTAAATGTTGGAAATTTCTTATTTTTTCACAACTTTGAGCAAAATTTTCACTATGATGCAAGATGATTCAGAAGAAACTTCCAACATGAAAGTTGTAGATCTCCATTAAATCTACAACATTGCTTTACATAACTTCTTCTAAAAGTTCTTGGATCTCAAGTTATAATTTTAAGAACACATGGTCATGAAACAAAACACTTAGTGAAATTTTACCCTAATTTGCTCAGGATTTTGACCTAACTTCATGGCACTTTTCATATAGTTCCAAGGGGAATTTTCAAAAGTTATTCAAATATGGGTTGTAGAGAATATTGCAAGCTTTCCAAAATGTATAAGAACTCCTTGAGATCATTTTTGAGTAGGGAGAATCGAAGAGATGAAGTTAGGGTTTTATCACTTGAATTACAAGTTATTTTGTGATGAACAAGATTCAAAATTCAAACTTATGCTGCATAACCTCTACTTTGCAGACCTCAAACTTGTTAGGCGCTCCATAATTAATTGCTTGCACAGCTGTTAGAGGTCTCATTTCAAGAATTCAATGCAAGGCCATGTTTTATATCCATTTTGGGAAGAAAGTGCACATTGCCATTTTGATAAAGTGGCTTTTTGCACAAAA